CGGGGGTGCAGGGGGGGGGGGGGGGGGGAAGAGGGACTGGCCGGGGAAAACTGGGAGGAAAAGTGGGGGAGAATCAACCAACCAGCTGGCTAGGAGGGGGCGAGGGAGCGAATCAGCCAACGGGGAGCAGGACTGACCCGGGCTGTGCAGATCTTAGAGTGCTCCTGTCCCACATGAGTCAGTCCAGCTGCGGCTTCACCATGCACTTGACCAGCGTGCAGGAGCATGGACCGGGATCACTCTCCTCCTCCTTACACGCAACCAGGGCTCCCAGCGCTGATTGTGCCCCACCTCCCAGTCACTTCCTCCACCCTTGCCAGGCTTCCGTCCGGCACCCAGCCAGAAAACCAGGAACTACTGGACATTGCACATGTCCGGTATTTTCTGGATTTTTTTTACCGGCAGAGGGCCCAAAAACTAGGAAACCAGACACCTGGCAACCCTAAGATGTCTAATCACTAATACCCCCCTCTATTAAAGAATTTAAGCAGGTGCTTAACTTGAAACGTGTATAGTCTCGGTGAAGTCAATGTGATTATTTATATGTTTAAAGTTAAGCAGGTCCTTTATGTGCCTTGCTGGATCAGAGGCTGCATATAGGAAAAATGAGCTGAACCTCAAAGATATATGGAATCTTTAAAAAAAAAAAAAAAAAAGGAGAGAAATCATAGAGAGGCAAAGAATTTGGCACAATTCAGCAGGGCGTGGAAAGGAACCAAATTACAGCCAGGATTATGGATCTAGACATAAGATTCCAACCTCTGCTCTTCACAAGCCCCAGCTTCCACTCCACCCCACTGTTGCTTTCTTTTCACCCCTTACCCACTTGTTTTTCACTGGTCTGTCTGCCAGGTTTGGTTTTCACATACTACCAACATCAAACTCACATGTTTATGTGTAACTGCTTCACACCTGCTGTTATTCTTCCTTCTATCACTTTCCTCCAGTTTCTCTCCGCTTCTTTTTTCTTCTCTCTCCTCCCTTTATTTTCACTCCCTATGGCAAATTAGCAGAGGCCCATACTATTTCCTTCTCCCATCAGAGGGAGTAAGAACAGCACCTGGAATCCCTTTCTCTCCACAAGTGGACAAAGTCAGGAGAAGGAGCCATCAGCCACTATTTCTTCTTCCTTTTGTGGAATCCCTTTCTTTCCACAAGTAGACAAAGTCCGGAGAAGGAGCCATCAGCCACTATTTCTTCTTCCTTTTACCTCATGGACAAGAGACTGGACTGTGGATCTGAGGAGAGAATGGAAAGGAAAAGTCCAGTGCCGACAATGTAAGGAATAGGAGAGGACGTGGAGAGAAGCCCAGACTTTGGCCAAGTACAGAACAGGTAAGTACTGATCTTTTCACTGGTTCCTCCCCTACTCCCTGTAGATTCCTAGGAGCAGCCACTCCCCTAGTTATATATTCCAGCTCCCAGTCTGCAGATGGTCTTCTAGAATGGTGGGAGCAGTTGACGTACCTCCAATGAGAATACCGTGCTGGTTGTGATCTGACCACATCCCTTTTGAGGGCCTTGATCAGACTGGGCTCATGATAACTGTCATCCTCTGCCTGGAAGGTGGCTCCTGAAAGGAGAGAAATAGAGAAAGTGGGCCCATGTGATAAGGTTTTTTGAAGCGTAGCCATTATTGTGGACCCCAAAAGAATGGCAGCAGCAATCCACTTTTGGATTAAAAAATAGCAGCAACATTCCTTCCTGACAAACCTGCTGAGTGTATGAGTGTCTGTCTGTTTGTTGACGGAGCAGAGAAGAGGCAGCTATGAAAGGGACTCCACACTCTGAGGAAAAACCTCGTGGAACTGCTGCAAGATCAGACAATGCAGAGAGCCAACCTGCGAGAGTCTTTACATGACAGATCTTTTAATGTTGGCCCCATGCGTGGGATGCATACTGCCAGTGAAATCCATTTAAAAAAATCTAAGTACACAACTGCCTAGACACTTTCTACCCTACCATCCTCTAGTCACCCACATAATTGCTGAATATTTTAGCCCAAACACTACCATGTGACTTAGATGACCAATCATATAGCACCAATTACACAAGCCACAGGAAAGAAGAATTTGCAGATAACTTACAGACTAAAAATTATTTGTCTTAATAACACTGGATTAACAAATACCTTCTGAAAAATCAGGTGTCTCTCAAGAACATTTCACTATATTAAAAAGGGCTTTGCCTTTCAAACCCTCTGGATTCAACTGAAAGTAGAATTACAGGCTTATCCTGTCACAGGCAGGAAAGAAATCAGGGAAGGGAGGAGGAGAGCCAAGAAAGAATAGAACATTACTAGATATGACAAGGACAAACACCTCATAGGAAAACACCCAAATTAGAATGAGTAGGATTAATTAGTCTATCCTATGGCTAAAGAGACATGGGTGTATACATCCAATTGTGAAAGAGCACAATAAAAATGAAACAGATAAGGGAGGGAAAACACTTGACATTAAATTGAAGGCTCAGATCTTCCCCCAGAAAATGGAAGAACAGAGTGGCGCCTGCAGGAAGAGGCAAGGGAGGGTCTTAGAGGAAAGAGGTGGAGTTGGGGGATCTGATTTTCAAAAATTAGAAATTTGGCAGCCCTCAGGTCTGAGAGTTGATCCTGGGTCCAGGAAAGAGCACTGCAGGGAAGCTTACCCTTGCTATAAGCCTGTATTGCATGTGATTGTGATGTAAGAGGGAAAGAAATACACCCCTTGGTGAAAGATAAAGAACCTGCTGCACAGTCATGGTGCTGTAAATCCCAGGGAGCACAGAACTTGTATAGGTGATAGAGAAACAACTACATGAAAACAAGAAACATAACATTGCAAACTGGTGGCAGAAGGTGTGAGAAGAGCCAGACTACACACTGCCATGCTAGAGTTCTGAAGATACACTGCACAGAACTGAGGGTATGTCTACACTACAACCCTAGTTCGAACTAGGGTGGTAATGTAGGCAACCGGAGTTGCAAATGAAGCCCGGGATTTGAATTTCCCGGGCTTCATTTGCATAAAGCCGGGCGCCGCCATTTTTAAATGTCCGCTAATGCGGACTCCGTGCCACGCGGCTATACGCAACACGGACTAGGTAGTTCGGACTAGGCTTCCTAGTCTGAACTACCGTTAAACGAGCTAAGGTGAACAGCTCACTGAGAACACCAAACAGATGTCAGTGCTAAGAATAAAGACTATGGTTTGTTAGCTGAATAAACATATTTCATAATCAATATGTTCATTTGATATTTGCAAGCTTTGAATGTGCAGATATTTACATATTTAACACAGTAGCAGGCTGTGTCCATGAGCTGGATATGCCATGAGAACTACCTTTTTCACAATATTTCTGATTGCAGGCATAACTGAAGCCACATCGTGCTGAGTTGTGTGAAAATGAAAGATAACAAAGACAAACAGTCAAATACTGATACTTTGTAAACTTCCAATATGAGGAAGATATGTGCCTATCACACATTCCTTGCAGTTTCATTTTTCGTGATTAAATATTACAAGTCAAACTCAGAGGAGAGGCATATAAAAATGTTGAGGGGGAGGGGAAGCAGGCAAGAAAATGCACAGGGTTTTTATGTGGTACTTTAGTCTATAGAACCCACTAACAAAGCATTGAGGCTAACAGCTTAAAAGAATAAAATAAATCTAGACAGTTCTATAATTAATAAGGTCATTGATAGTTTCATAAAATAAGATTGACATGTATAAGGACTACAAACCCTCATGCTTTCAGGAACGAGACAATCAACCCATATTGCCTGGAGTTAAAAAACTTCCCCAAAAGGCAAGTTTTCCCGTAATTGTCCCTTATAGCACTTCTTGAAACCAGGCAGTGTCAGGTAAATGATATCAGAAGAAACACACATTTGATCTGGAATGGCAATCTGTGTCTATGAGACCTTCAGTCATGTTGAAAATACAAAAAAAAATGTCACTCATACATTGCCCCCCACAACTGTCTCTCTGAATAGGAAGCCTAAGCTAAGTTGGTGTAAACTATATACTGATAGAATCAACTTTGGCTGCGTCTAGACTGGCAAGTTTTTCTGCAAAAGCAGCTGCTTTTGTGGAAAAGCTTGCCAGCTGTCTACACTGGCCGCTTGAATTTCCGCAAGAACACTGACGATCTCATGTAAGATTGTCAGTGTTCTTGCGGAAATACTATGCTGCTCCCATTCGGGCAAAAGCCCTCTTGCACAAATGCTTTTGCTCAAGAGGGCCAGTGTAGACAACGCAGTATTGTTTTGCACAAAAAAGCCCCGATCGCAAAAATGGCGATCCGTATCTAGATTGGCACGGACGCTTTTCCGCAAAAAGTGCCAGACTAGACGCTCTTTTCCGCAAATGCTTTTAACGGAAAAACTTTTCCGTTAAAAGCATTTGTGGAAAATCATGCCAATCTAGACGTAGCCAACATGAAACCCAACTCACTGAAGATTATGAGAAACCTCAAGGTAAATTAAGTGTGGGGCACCCTCTCAACTTTCCTTCCATATAAACTGTAATCTACACCTGCTTCTAGCCTCTCATGCAGAGCCAGATTTAGGGGCAGGCAACCCAGGTGGCCCTCTGAGGACCCAGGCTTGGGGAGTGCCAGAATCGGGCTGCTGTTTTTGTTATTAGTGACAAAAGGGAAAATAACAGGTTTCAGGTATTCTGTATGTGGATATGTTTTTCACTAACCTCCCAGAAAGTTCTGAACCTTTGTAGAATCTCAGGGAACCTTCCAGACTCTGAAGCTTTCTAGAATGCGGTCAGCCACACCTTTCCAGGTATGTAAAAGGCAGGGCATTGCCAGTCAGTAAACAAACTGAAGTGAGAGCCCAGATGCGATATTGTGAACTTTGTTATACTATGTAATTGTGAAAGTGTACTTGTATTTTAAGACTTGAAGTGTAAATAGTGACTAATAAAGAAAATACATAACGAGATGTCAGCGATATCTATCAAACTCCTATCTATGCAACAACATAAAAGAAACATTGTTATGTCTTTTGCCATGATTAACATATAATGTTTGATGACTTTCTAAGGCACAGTTCAATTTCTTGATGTTAGTACATCTCAATTTATTCTTAAAATGTAAAAATTTCTATAAGCTGACAGGAAATTTTTTGTATTTGCTTGCATGGCGTGACTAAATTTGGCTTTATTGATCCTAGCTTGCAAATGTATTGTCTTATATGACTGGGATAAATAATGAATGCAAATTGTGCATCAAAGTAATGAAATGGAGTACTAATGCAATAAAAAAATAAAGTATTCAAAAGTTTAACAAATGCAGGGCAGCATTAAGGACATTCCTTGCCTGGGGCACCATTCAAGAGCTGGCCCTGTTCTCAGAGCCTGACTTTCTCACTTTGCAGTTTGTGTGTTCAATTATTTTCTGTACCAACTAAGTGCAAAGTGGGCATTCGATGTTACCTAATCAGAATGATAACATTGTACAGCTAATTTACCCCAGTTTAGGTTGCTGCACACACATAACAGGCAGTGGAAAATCAGGCTCCAATATGTAAATTATATCATGTTAAGACTCCATACTCTCACTTACTACCATGTAATTTACATCAGCTCATTCACCATGTCTGAATGTGGCCACAGGGCAGAGTGCATTGCAAGTCAAAAATGAAACTGGGTGTTTCATCATCAAAAAAAGCATACAGAATGAAAACAGCTCCAACTAGGTAAGCAACAAATCCACAACATGAGATAGCAAGCAATAGCATGAGATAGCCAGAGAGTGAATAGCTTAGAGAGGGCACTGAACTCAAAGATTAAAGCTCCATCTAAAACTGAATTTTTCCAAAGTTTTGGATGAAGCTAGATCAGGTGGTCTCATGTAGGCCCATTTGAGGTTGGCCCAAAGCCTCAATTTATCAAGTCAATATACCAATGAGATCTAGCTAGAGTGACCATGGGTATGTCTAGACTACATGGCTCCGTCGACGGAGCCATGTAGAATGAAGCGGCGATTTAAATAATCGCCGCTTCATTTATATCAAAATGGCCGCCGTGCTGTGCTGACGATCAGCTGATCGGCACAGCAGGGCAGTCTGGACGCGCCGCAGTCGACAAGGGAAGCCTTTGTTGACTGCTCCGGTATGCCTAACCCTAACCCTA